CCTGCAGGCGGACAGCGACGCCGACAGCATCAGCCTGGAGCTGCGCAAGCCCGACGGCACCCTCGTCTCCTTCACCGCCGACTTCAGGAAGGTGAGGCACCCTCGCTGGCCGGGCCGGGATCCCCGGGGTCTCAGGCGCGCTCGAGGCTGCGGACGGGAGGACGGGGTCCGGGGCGGGATGCGACTTAGCCGGCGTCACGCCGGGCTCCTCTCTGCACCTCCTTGCCTCACTCCAGACCCGATCCCCTCACTCTGCAACGGACGCTTCTGCTGTCCCCTCAGCCCTTCACCTCTCTGCTATAGATAGCCAGGCCCCTTCTCCCGTCCTGACCCGTACGGCTTCTCACTGCCTCCTCCCGGAGCCCTCCAGGTGCTGAGCCTCCTTCGTAAGAGCGGGTTAGGTATCAGAGGTTCTCACTGTGTGATCTCGGCCAATCCCTTTCCTCCTGTGGGCCTGTGTCTCGGCTCTGCACAGGCAGTGAGGTGGCAGCCAGGCCTCCCAACCCTGACGTCTTGGAGTTCTTGAATCACTTCTCCCTCTATTTCGTTTTCCTGGAAAGAGCTGGCTGTCCCTGGTCGCTCCCAAACCCAGGTGAAACCTTTTCTCCTCTTTGGTCTGGAAGGCTGGGATGCTTGCGGCAAGAGGACCCTGGGAAGAGACCCCAAGTGGGACCCTCTCCCTCTGGGAGAAGTGCCACCCTTTACCCCAACCCCCACATGTTGGCCCAGACTGGGAGTGGTTGGGGGGGTGTCAGAGATCAGCCTCTACTCAGTGTGTGTGTATGTTGGGGAGGGAACCAGAAGTTGGGCCAGAGAGTGCATCCAACTGCCCAGTCAGAGAGAGGAGAGGTGCTGGGGCTTATCAGTAAATAGGCCTGGAAGGATGTGAGTGACTAACAGTGACCCAGCAGCAGGAAGCCTGGAGGAAAAGAGGGTGAGTTTTAGGTATTCAAAGAGAGTCTCCTACCTCCTACCCCCCCCAGCCCCTCTCCTAATAAAGAGGTCCAGTGAGGTTCTGGTCCTGGGGGAAAGCAAAGGTGAGGCGGATTAGATAGCTGGGCTGCTGGGGAAGCGGGCGGTGGGACTGTTGTTGTCGGAGCCCTCTTTGTCCTACCTCTTAGAGACTGGGAGCTTCAGAGGAGAGGGTTAGAGTTTGGGGAGTCAGCTAGAGACTCAGCAAGATTGCCATAGAGAGCAGGGGTGGGGGAGGTCCAGTGGACAGTGGGGTAGGGGCGAGGCTTGACTGCTGGCCACTGCATTGTCACTGACCTAGGACTTAGGGGGACCAGAGTGGGTGAGCGTTCACAAATGGGAAGACTTTGTGGCCCATCCTTACTCAACAGGCCTAAGGTAGGTTCTGAGATTCAGGTAGGGACAGATGAGTTTGTGTGTGGAGGGAAGGGAGCTGGTTGGGTCAGCTTCCCTGCCCTGCCTCCACACCTTCACTTCCAGGGAATGTTATCAAGTGTGTTCTGAAAAATCTGTGTCAGTGGCTGGATCCATCGGGGGTCAGGGGTCTAATTTCCCACCCAAGCTGTTTGCCCTTGAGAGTTACCCTCAGGCCAGGCTGTGAGTGTCCCACCCTCCTGTCCACTGGCCATTCTCCTGCAGCTGCACTGGAACCCTCATGAAAGACTTCTCCATCTCTGGGACCTCCCCAGCAGTCAGGGCTGTGGCTAGGACAGTGAGAGAGGCAACGGCCAGCCAGGGCCTGGCTTTTATAGCCTTTAGCTACAGTTGGTAGTTTTTGTTGCTCTGACCTGAAAGGAGAGGAGAGGGAGTGCCCAAGTGACTGTGACGGTGGTGGTGGTGGTGGTGGTGGTGGTAGCTGACAGTGGCCAGGAGGTGGGGGGAGGTGCTGAGAATTGAGGCTGAGGGCATGGTGGGTGCCCAACTGCCAGCTAGAGAATGCATTTGGAGCTGACTGCAAGGGCCTTATTTGCATCCCCACTGTCCTTCAAGCCTCCACCCAGGTTTCTGAAGTCTACTTTTCAGGTTAACCTCTGGCCTAGAAGCTGGCATTTCACACCCGCCCCAGCATCTCCAATTTCATCAGCAAGGGAGAGAATTGGGAGTAGAAGGCACAGAAAGGGAACCAGCTTTCCAAAGTCCCCTCAACTCCAGGTTTCTCAGTTGGCCTGGGGCCAGGCAGAGTTGGAGCATGCAGGGGGTGGGGGGAATAACCCTCACCCCTACCCAGTCCATTGCATCTGCCAAAGCAGCGTCTGTGCCCCAGCCCTTCTGGGGTGGGTCACCTCTTTTGTTGCCCACTCAGCTCTCAAGCCCTCATGCCTCATTGTCTTTGGCAGATTTCCACAAGAAAGTTCTGTGTAGAAGTAATGACTTTTCCTGTGGGTAAAAGGCTCAGAAGTTGTGGAGGATTTTTTTGTTTCCTGTATCAAACTCATTTGGGGTGTTTTGGAAAAAGTTCCTAGTCCTCTTGGGAAGAATGATGTTTGCCATTGGATCACCCTTAGGAAAGACAGTCCAGACCACACGAGACAGACCTGGTTTGCCACTTAGCAGATTTACCCTGGGCAGCTATTTGATCTCTCCAGGACTTCATTTCTTCCTCTGTAAAATGGTGATAATAATAGTACATATCTCATGGTTATTGGGAGAAATAAGCAGGGCGGTGAGGATGAAATACTCACTCTGTATTAAATACTGTGAGCCGGGCTCGGTGGCTCAGCCTGTAAGCCCGCGCCTTGGGAGGTTGAGGTGAGTGGATTGCCTGAGCCCGTGGGTTCGAGACCCACCTGGGCAACTTGGTGAGCCCTCATCTCTACAATAAATCAAAAAATTAGCCGGGTGTGGTAGCGCGCGCCTGCAGTTCCAGCTATTTGGAAGGCTGAGGAGGAAGGATCGCAGGAGCCCAGCAGGGCGAAGCTGCAGTCCCGGCCACCGCATTCCAGTCTGGGCGACAGAGTGAGATCCAACTCAAAAATAAATAAATAAATAAATACTGTGTTGAGTGTTCAGGAAATAGAAGCCATCGACTTTGATAATTGTGGCTCCCGTAGCATTTCAGCAGGGACCCTCCTTGCTAAGCTTGGACTCAGGTTGAATAACAGACCCAAGGTCATACAGCAAAGTCAGTGCTGAGCCTGGAGGAAGGAGCCTTGAGCTCCTCTTCCTCACTTTCTTGTACCTCATAAATTGCCAGCCAGCCCCTCAGAGCAGGAGCAACCATCCTTGTCCTGACAGCCAACGGGGTGGCAGCAGTGAACCCCCCCTCCCCGGGCTGGATAGAACGAAGCTTCCTGTCTGGCTAATGCCCCTCAGCCCCTTCTCTTCAGTTCCTCCCCACCTCTCTGCTTGTCTTTACCCCAGGCAGGGTTCCAACTGTCTGACTCTCCCCACCCTGCCACCCTGGACCTGAAGCCAGCGAAGCATCACAGTTATCAGCCCACTGTAGTACACATAGCCTGGAACCCAGGCGAGGCTTACAGACTCATGAGTAGCTTGGGGCTACCAGATGGCCATCTTGCCTTACTACGAGCCTTGCCCAAAGGCTGATGTCCATCAGGCCGACCGAGCTGCAGCTCTCAAAGAGTGCCACAACTCACGGGCCCCCAGTTCTGGCTGCACATCGGAATCACCTGGGGAGCTCTGAAAACCCCCGGTACCTGGGCTGCACGCCATGCCAATTAAATCAGAATATCTGAGGGTGGGAGTCAGGCAGCAGGTTTTTGTTTTTTGGTTGTTTTTTGTTTTGTCTTGTTTTTGAGTCGAGATCTCACTCTGTTGCCCTGGCTAGAGTGCAGTGGCACAGTCATGGCTCACTGCAGCCTCCACCTACTGGGCTCAGGCAATCCTTCTACCTCCATTTCCCTAGTAGCTGGAATTGCAGGCATGTACCACCACGCCTGGCTGATTTTATTTTATTTTATGTTGTTATTTTTTGTAGAGATGAGGTCTCACTATGTTACCTAAGCTGGTCTTTTTTTTTTTTTGAGTTAGAGTCTCACTTTGTCACCCAGGCTGGAGTACAGTGGCATGCTCATGGCCACTGCAGCCTCGACCTGCTGGGCTTAGGCAACCCTTCTACCTCAGCCTTTCAAGTAGCTGGGACTATAGGTATGCACCACCATGCCCAGCTATGCTTTTGATTTTTTGTAGAGATGAGGTCTCACCAAGTTGCCCAGGCTGGGCTCAGGCAATCCTCTCGCCTCTGCCTCCCAAAGTGCTGGGATTATAGGCATGAACCACCATGCCTGGCTCTAGGCTGGTCTTGAGCTCTTGGGCTCAATCAGTCTTCCCGCCTAGGCCTCCCAAAGTGCTGAGATTACAAGGCATGAGCTACTGTGTCCGGCCAGGCAGTAGTACTTTTTAAAGAATGCTGGGTGATTCCAGTGTGCTTCAAAGTTAGGGAACCACCGGCATAGCTGTTCCAGGAAGGCAAGGGGAGGAAACCTGGAGGAGGAGTGAGGTTCGATTATAAAATGAAGGTAGGACCCAAACTCACTCACATATTTGAAGCCTGTCATTCTACCTACAATAACCTTAATGTATTTTTAGCAGCATATGAGCATCAAGCCTAATTCTGTGTGCCCTCTAGAGCACAAGAACTCTAATTCATAGTGCACCTGCAACAGGCAATACTCTTCTTTATGCTCCGAATCCTAAGTGTGTAATTTGACCTATATGTCCACGATCATGGGGAATATATCTAATAACAGGCATGTCACCATCTCCGGTCTCTAATCTGGCTGTTGGATTCCCCCTTCCCTAAGCTGGTGTGCCTGTCCATGATCCCTTTGTCCTCTGTCCCCCAGTCTGAGTGTCCAAAAGCTGGGGAGGGGATGAGTCATGTTCCAGCCAACCCAATTTGGTGCTGACCGGATGAGGAGGGTGGGGCGCACAGATATGAAGAAAGTCATGCATCAGGGCGGAGGATACATCTGGAGCAGGAGGAAAGAGAAACAGACTCCGAAAGGGTAGAAGGAGAGGCTCACAAGGGCCCACAGGTGGAAAACCGAGTTAGGGGAGCCATGTGGCCGTGTGGGTCAGCTCAGGGTCACTCCGAAGGACTGAGGACCCAGGGAGGTTGGAAACTCGAGCCCTGCCCTGAGCACCCATAGGTGAGTA